GATGAACTTTTATTTATTTATTTGTAGTGCTGAGGCTTGAACCCAGGGCCTCATGCATGCTAGGCAAGCACTCTACCATTGAGCCAAAACCCCAGCCCCAACCTGATTCTTGAAATCTGTATTGGTTCTCCTTTCTGTAAGCATAAGCCCCTCTTCCTTTACCAGAAAATACTGACATTAACTAGGGTCAGTGATACCTGTGTAGTAGTTTCGGTGGTAGTTTTTTACTGAGGGGGGGCTAAAGCTTGCAAAGAAAGAAGCCTGGGGCAGTAGTTACTACAGTTCTGTGTATTTCAGATTTACCTTCCTACCTTCCCATCTCTTTCCTGAAAATGTTCTTCCCAGGCAGGACTGATTCAGCTGGGGCCAATTTGGTTTATTAAGTGGCACACCTGTCCCCTGGTGGCCAAATGGCCCGATGACACTTCCTCCAGTTCTCAAAGATATTCATGCAGCAACAGTCCCTAGCAGCAGAGGCTGAGATCCAGAGGTGGGAATTGTGGGACAAAGAGATCAGATTGGGGACACCCAGGATCAGTGGTCAAGCATGGAGACAAAGTCACCTCCTTGGCGAACACTTATTTGTAACAATTCCTCCACACTGCAGCCCAGTAGTGAAGCTGGCTAGCTTTTCTGATTGATGGGTAGTGTAATTTAATACTTTATGTGGAACAAGGCAGAACAGCAAGGCTATGAGGTAGCTACAATCATTGTTGCCATTTAATAGAGAAAGCAACTGAGGCTCAAAAACATTAAGTAACTTGCGCAAGGTCATCCAAGAAGCCAAGGACCCAGCAATTTATGCTGTTAACTGTTAACATTTTGTGGTTTCTACTGTTACTGCCTTGTAATCTGTCTGTTTGTGGGTCTGTCTTTTCCTATTGGACTGTGTCTTTCTTGGGGGCAGTGACTCTTATTGCTCTGTCCCCAGCACTGAGCTCAGGGTGTGTCTGGGTATTTAGAAAGCACTAGTCAGCTGGGCCTCAAAAGGAACCTGCAGCCCCTCTCACTGCCAGCATGGATGGTGCTCACTGGCCCCAGGCACAGATCTCTGACTTGGAAGGCCCCTGGCTGAGGTGTATATCAGCTATTCCTATCGCTGGGACTCCTCTGGAGGTGGCCCAGAAAGCCCCAGAGCATGAGGAAAGGTGAATACCACCAGGTGCCCTCAGTAGCAGGGACTTGGGACCTTGTTGGATTTGTCAGCATCACAGAGATAGAGGGTAGGAGGCCAGTTCGCTCAAGCCCATCCCTATAGGGCAGTAGCACCCTCTAGTGGGGAAACTCAAGATGATTTTGGAAGAAAACAGATGGTTCATAGCTGGGGAGGCTGGAGATACCCTCTTCAGGAGGTAGTTTCAGAAACAGTTGCTATCCCTCACCCCAGAGCCGCAAAGAAGAGTCTGGGACTCTTCTAGATCCCCCCAGGCCAGAGTGGTCCACTGCCAAAGGGCTTGCCCAGTTACCCAAAATGTGAAGAAACACTTCCTAGTCCCATTGGCTCTTTGCTGAAAAGAACAGCCTAGTTCAAGGTCACATTTTCTTGTGAAGACTGCATTCAATGACTATCTGATGTAGAAATAGAAAAGCCAGTCTTCCTCATCTCAACTCAGGACAATCCAAAGGCCATCCTGGTTTCAGAGTTCCTGGCCAGGGTTTATTGAAACCCTTGTTAGACTGTGTTTCAGCCCAACTCTTCCCTCTATCTGATCTTACTTCCTTCCCTTTCACCATAGCTGATGGTCCTGAGACCTCTTTCCAATAAGTCCCCTGTATTTCAATCTCTATTTCAGTCTACTTCTCCAGAACCCATTTTGGAACACTTTTTAGAATGTCATATATGCCATATGTGAATACAGAGATTCAGAGCAGCTCTCTGGGACAGAGAGTTCTAGAATCCCCCCGCCATCCACCAGCTCTGCACCCTGGAGTGCTTCCTGGTCCTCAGAGCACAGAGTCCCCCAAAAGCCTCACAGGCTCCTTTCCCACAATGAGAACTAGTTACCATCAGGATGTCAGCACATCATTACCTCCTTGGTCATACTGGGAATGCCAGATGGCACTTACCCTTCTTGTCACCTGCAGGGGCCAGGAGGAAGGCACAAATCCCATGCTGAATAGGCAGCCTCCAAGGTGTTGCCATAGAAGCTGGAGAAATAGACCTGAGGGCTCTGGCCACTCCAGGCAGGCCTTGTTTGCTTGTCCCCAGGGCTGAAGCAGTCAATATTTCCCCACACACCAATGACCTATGTATGTCACATAATGCTCTGAGCCTGTGAACCTCATGGTCTTTGAGGTATTTCTCCTTTATGATTCTTGAGGAGCATATCTCAGCATATCTCAGCATATCCCAGTAGCCCAGCTTGAGGAAGGGGAAGATGTTCCCTATACTGCTTTGTCACTGTGTGATGTCAAACACGCAGTGTCTACTGCCCCAAAGGTCAGCAGAAGCATGTTAGGGTCACATCCTCAGTCAGTCACCCACAGTGATATCAGAGAAGAATGCATGATGTAGACTAGACCAGTGCTATCCAGCAGAACTTTCTATGATGATGAAAATGTCCTGTATCTACACCGTCCCTCATGGTAGCCCGAAGATGACTGAGTACTGGAGCTGTGGCTTGTGTAGCCTAGGAGCTGAAAGTTTACTTTTATTTAATTTTCATTTAAATTAGTTTATATATATGTGTGTATATATATATATACACACACACACATACACACACATACATACAAACACATATATTTTTGGTTCTGGGAGACTGAACCCAAGGATGCTCTACCCCTGAACTACACCCTCAGCCCTTTCATTTTATTTTGAGAGGAGTCTTGCTAAGTTGCCCAGCTTGACCTTAAACTTGTGACCCTCCGGCCTCAGCCTCCTGAGTAGCTGGGATTATAATTACATCCCATTGTGCCCAGCTCATTTCAATTATTTCAAATATAAATAGTTAGATATGGCTAGTGGCTACCTCATTGAACAGTTACAGATACGGAACCAAAACATGGGATGCAAAAACTCAAAATCACTTTGTCCTAATTATAAGATTTTCCCGAGTTTACCTGGAAAAGTCAGTTATAACACACAGCTTTGGAGATTTTTGTGTTCCCCCTTGATCATCTATAAAAATACTAAGTAAGGCCCAGCACAGTTGTGTAATCCCAGAGACTTGGGAGGTTGAGGCAGAATGATTACAAGTTCAAGGCTAGCTCAGTAACCTAGTGAGATCCTGTGTCAAAATGAGTAATAAAAAGGGCTGGGGATGTGACTCAGTTGTAAGGTGCCCCTGGGTTCAATCCCCAGTACAAAACAGCAACAACAACTAAGTCTGAATCTTCTAGTAATTTCTCAGATTCATGCTTTTTTAGCTAGAGACATGCCAATTTATGTAGTTGTTGGTTTCTTTTCTCTACTTTTATTCATTTTTCATGATCAAATAACCCCCAAGTCCAATTCTCAATTTCTCATCCCCCCGTGACACGTTTTAGCCTATGGTTTGAAATTTTTTGCAGATCTTTCTGAAAACTCAATCACATTTGCAAGTTCCGAGGCCAACTTATCCTAAATAAATACATTGTTTGGGCATGATTACTCCATTTACAGATCCCAATGCTGTGTCCTCAGTGGGTGGTTCTTGTTTGCTGTGTTTAGCAATGCTAACCTTCATCATGAGCCACGCTTCATTGCAGAAGAGGGTGCATAGGCTTTCACTCTTCAGGGCCCCTAGGGAGTCCTACTTGTACATAGGCGTCATTTGCAATCCTCCTGGTCACCAGGGCAGCAGCGATCTTTTTTGCCAACAGTTGTCTGCTTTTCATTCTTGAGGTTTTTAGGTAAGTGCCACACTGGAACTTCCACAACACATCTGACCAAACACTTTTTTTTTTTTTTGTACCAGGGATTGAATTCAGGGGCACTTGACTACTGAACCACATCCATAGAATTATTTTATATTTTATTTAGAGACAAGGGCTCACTGAGTTGCTTGGTACCTTGCTGTTGCTGAGGCTGGCTTTGAACTCTTGATCCTCCTGTCTCAGCCTCCGGAGCCGCTGGGATTACAAGCATGTGCCACCGTACCCGGCTTGACCAAATACTTCTGAGAGTAGAGCATTTTGGTCTAACATCTCTAATTTCCCCATCTCAGGGCCCATTTTAGGAAAGGGAACCTCCCCTCTATCCACTTTAGGAAAGTGCTAGCAAGACTGTCAAACCCAGTAGGAAGCAATACAATAATGTAGCAGTTAATCAATGGCTTCTGAAGGGTCCAAATCTCATCCCTCTCATCACCAATGTAGCTTTCAGCAAGTTATTCTCTCTGTCAAGTGGGGGTAATAATAGCCCATCTCCCATAGGGTCCTTATAAGGATAAAGCAAGTTGGTTTTCATAAAGCATTTATTTACAGCAGTATTTGCCACAAAGTTAAGTGCTATGTAAGTATGAGCCAGCTTTATTACCATAAGCAGAGCTTTTTTTTTTTTTTTCCCATTGGTTTACTTGACAATTTCTGGCAAACTTTTTTTTTTTTTTTCTATTTGGAAATCAGTTGGGAGGCACCCTTTAAAGCTTTCTTCTGCTGCTTAATGTCTGACTTTCACCAAATTTGTCATACATTCCAACCTCTTCTGTTGGCCTCACTTGGATTCCCCCTACTTGCTTCCGGTTAGCCAGCAGAAGGATCTCCCTATGCCTGGAATCTTGTTTATTTTCCACTTTGGTGTGTGCTTTCCTTCACTTCTAATATATACTTTAAAAGTTTTCGCTTTATACATGTCCACCTTCACACTTTCATTCTAACACACTAGACAATACAGTTTTCTCCCAATTCAGATCCCTAAATCTTCACTTGTTTCTTTTTTCTTTTCCTCCCAGCTCCTAGACTTCCCTTTTGGAGTCCTGGTTATTTGCCCCTGGACTGAATAACTGTTGTTCCCAGGGGGTCCCCTTGAGTTCCCAAGAGAGGGCAGGGTCAGAGGGAGAGCTAGGGAAGTGCAGACATTACAAAGATCAAGGTACTTTATTGATAAGGCAACAACAGCATTATACTGGGCTGAGGCAGAGACCAAAGGCCAGGGCCACCAGAGGGGAGGGGTTGATTCACATTGAGACACAGGCTGAATGTCCTTCCCCCTCCTTCTTCTGATGGGTCAGTGGGGCTACAACCCAGGGAAAAAAGGAAGGGGTTCCAGATCTAGACATGCTCTGTTTAAATTTGGGTCAGTCATCAGGGAAACGGAAAATAGGGTCTGAGCTTAAGTGTTTTATATTGAAAAGGGCACTGGACTATAAGTCCAAATTCTTGTCCAGCCCTGGAGTGACTTATTTGCTTGTTTGTTTAGTTTTTTTCTTTTGTACCAGGGATTGAACCCAAGAGTGCTAACCACATCCCCAACCCCTTTTATGTTTTATTTTGAGATAGGATCTCTTTAAGTTGCTCAGGGGCTCACTAAGTTGCTGAGGCTGGCTTTGAACTTGTGATCCTTCTGCCTCAGCCTCAGCTCCTGGAGCAACTTAAAAATAGTTATTTGATCATGGGTAAGTCATACCCTCCTCTAAGTGTCAGTTTCCTTTAACAAGGGGGTTGAACTACTTTAACAATTTTTAAGCTTTCTTCCCCGACTGAATAGAAAGTTAGATCAATGCATTCTACAGCTAAAAACATTCTACAGCTAAAATCAAAGGTCTTTCCCTAGACCCTTATACAATAATAACAATATTCACTAATGTACAGTATTTTCACAATGTAAGTTTTCCCCCCATAAATGGCTCTGCCTGGTACCCTCAATATTAGAACATAGTGGAGTCTGATTCTGAAAGCAACTCATATCTAATGAGATGAAGCCATAGGTATGCTATTCTGTAATATGGAATGTGGCCTTCAGAATGTTTTCACCTGAAGAATTCTGGGAAATGCAGGGCCAGGAGGACACTGACAGCTCTTGCCACGTTAAGTCTGATTCCTCCCAGTTTTCAGGAAATGACAGATGTAGGTGGAGGGGTGCATCTTCTTGGGATTCGGGTGGCCATATTCCTACTGATCTTACCTCCAAGTTGATGCAGAAATACTCCCCTAATTCAAGCAGTCATCTCAAAGACCCTCCATGAGTCCCTCCATGAGTCCCTCTGGAAGAAGCCCCTCTGTGTGGCCCACACACCCACAACCCATTCAGCAGGGAGGGTTCCCATATCCTGGGTGTGGCCACTAGAGGAGGAAATGGAGTCTGAAGTTATGCATTCCCCCCCTGGCCATGCTCCCTGTGAGTTCTGGGTGGTAGAGTGATGAGAAGGGAACCAGCCCCACCCTGCTGGATCCCCCCATGCTCTGACCAGCCCCTGGATCTACCAGCTCCCCCCACCAAGCCCCGAGGTGCAGGTGCTGGCTTCTTTTTTTTTTTAAATATTTCTTTTTCAGTTGGACACAACACCTTTATTCATTTTTTTTTTAAAGATAGAGTGAGGGAGGGAGGGAGGGAGAGAGAGAGAGAGAATTTTTAATATTTATTTTTTAGTTTTCGGCGGACACAACATCTTTGTTTGTATGTGGTGCTGAGGATCGAACCCGGGCCGCACGCATGCCAGGCGAGCGCGCTACGGCTTGAGCCACATCCCCAGCCCATGGTGCTGGCTTCTTGTTCTGCATCTGGGTAGCTATCTTGGAGTTACATGTGGGCAGTCCTCTATCCCACCCTGTCAGGGGAAGAAGATGCAAGCCCTATGTACTTGTCAGAGGGAGGCCCTATTGTTCCAGACTGGGGCAAGAGGAGATTGGGACAACTTCCTTGCCACCGTTGGTGATCAGAGAGGGTGAGGTCCCCTTGGGGGTCAAGGTAGGAGGGCCTGCCCTCCTGGGTGGGAGGTAAGGCACTGGCAGGGTGAGGAGGAGGACAGTGGCAGGCAGGCCTTCTTTGCAATCCGAGGGTAATTCCATCTTGCCATGTGGATGGTTGGAAGGAGAGCTCCCTCTCAACCAACCCTGGACTTTGTGACAGAGACAGCCTTGGACCAGCATCCATTGCCATTCTGGGAGGCTGGTTTGCCTGTTGTCCACTGCCTGACCCTGTGTTCTGCTCTCCTGGGGCTTCTCAGTGGGTGGGTTCTGAGCCAGCAGCTCCTGCCATAGGCAGGAAGCCCAGCATACCACAGCTACTGCCCATGAGAGGATTGCCATGGCAAAGGGATGGAGGTGGGCATACCAAGACTGGGAGAGTACCCTTTGGCCAGCAGGGTGGGTGAAGGGGTATCATGACCTTAGTTTTTTCTTGGATTTGCTCATTCTTGGCAGTGAGTGCCCCAGGCAGGCCAGGGGAAGGAAGGCAGAGGGAGGAGGCACTATTGTGGATGGGACAGAACAGCACAGATAGGTAGCAGGATAAGATGGAGTGGGGTAAGGATTGTGGGTCAGTTATGTATTCTGTGTGGGCAGGGGGAGGGGTCTCCTCACCAGGCTCTGGACATATGGGCTAGGGGAGGTACAAGTATCTCTGTCCCTGAGGAGTGGGTGCATTTGTCCTGCCTGCCTTCCTTTGCATTAGCAGCAGCCACTTAGGGAGTGGTGGGGACATCCTTGGGCAAGGCCCCTCCTCCAGCCTCTGCCCTCTGTCTCCACTTGATTTTTCTTTGTCAAATAAACAGTAACTCATGACTGAGGTCTCATGGGTCAGGGGGCAACCTGTGGCCTGCAGAGAAGGGGGACCTGGTGTTAGACTGGACAGGAGACAGGATGGGCCAGACAGACAAGGGAGATGGCAGAGGTGGGGTTGAACTCCAGGAGGGGTGGGAGGGGTTGCTGGGCTGCAGCCAGTCTGGGGCCTGGGCACCAGGCCCTGGAGGAGCAACCCCGCCCAGGCGCCACCACAGGCCACCCTAGTCAGGAGATCTCATTGCCAAACACCTCAAGCACAAGGGGCGTGAGCTTCATGCTGCTGTCAGGCTGGAAGGAGAGGGAGCGATACTGCTTGGAATGTTCCTCGTTGAGGCTACGCAGGTCCGCCAGCTTCTGGATCATCTTAGCATAGAGTAGGTGGCTGCCTGGGGGTGGGTGGCGGCAGCGAATATAGGTCTGCAGCGTGTTGGACAGGCGATCCTGGATGGCCTCCACCAGCTTGGCGTCCTGCACCCCAGGTCGGTCTGTGGCACAGGGGATAGGAGGAGAAGACACAGGGGCTCCAAGCTGACTCCCTCGCTGCTCAGTCTCACTCATATGGATACCTTGTGAGGCACTGCCCAGGCCACCCTGTATGATTGCTGACCTGAGACACCTGCCTTAAGTCCCTCAACAACTTCCCACTGCATGGAGGACGTTGTCTTTTCAGGAGCCCATCTGGTCCTGTCCCCACCTCACCTCACTTCCTCTGTCTGTACATTGTGCCTGCATCAGTGTCCGGAGCAATGCACTCTCTGGCCTCCGGGCTTTGCTTTTGTGTTTCCTCAGCTTGGAACTCAGCTATTCTATCTTTGCCTGACTGACTGATCCTGTGGGTAACAGCTTACAAGACCTTCCTCAAGAGGGCCATTCCTGATGGCTCTTCAGCTCCATGTCTTAATCAGGCGCCCTGCTGCTGTCATATATTCTATAGATCCACAAATTTGGGCTTCATCACCAAGAGAACATCCCCAGGGCCACAACAACTTCCTCCTTGGCCTTTTTGCCCTCTTCCCACCCCAAACAAACAGAAAAGGTCAAGGGTCAAAACACACTGCCTCCAGAACCATCCAGGTAAATGCAGAATCATTCATCATCCTCAAGGTTTTGTGTTCTTCTGAGGAACCTCAAGTGACAGAAAAGTTCATTCCAGTTCACACAGAAGAGAGCCCAAGTATTGGGAACACCCAGGCCTGTCTGTGGCCTGAGAAACCCTGTTTATCTGGTTTCTCAGAATCCTGTGAATCACCTACTGTCTCTAGAAGAAAAAGCCAAGGGCAGTGAGGGATGAGGGACCCCTCAACCATTATACACCCTAAGGGCCATACAAAGCCAGCAAAGCGATGTTTCTCTATTTCCCTATTTGCCTTTCCTTTTGATCAATTTTCCCTCCAGATTGCCCTGCTGGCCCTCCGCAGGTCATTGTCTTTCACCACTTCCTAGAGAGTTCCTCACTCCTGGGCTCCATACCTGGGGAGACGATGCAGATAGCCATGAGCAGGACATGTTCTTCCTCATGCAAATTCAGCTTCTTCAGCCCCACTTGGAATTTGATGAGGGGTTCAATCAGCTCCTGGGTGTGCCCAGCTATCAGAAAGAATGACCAGGAACTGTGGATAGAACCCAGGAGCTACCCACCCCACCTCCAACCCCTGCCTGTCCTTGCACTCCTCTCCCTGTTGTTGCCTAGCTCCACCCCCCACTGTCTTCCATGTGCCTGATGGGAACCCAAGACCTCAAGTGGGATGGAACCAGAGTCTGGGAGTTGGAAAAGGTGGAAGCAGAATCTAGACACACCTTTGGTCACATCAGTAACATCATACTTATAGTCCTGGTTGCCGCAGTTCCAGGACATGTCATCCATAGTGAAGGACTGGTTGGAGCGCAGCATGATCACCTCGATGGCACTCGACTTCAGCAGCACGATCTGGTCCTCAGAGGTGAGATCTCTGTGGTGGTTGGGGAGGTGAGGAGATCAGGCCACCAGTCAAGACCTTCAAGTCACACCAATCAGTTTAGGGTTACACCTGCTAGGTGACCATTGTGTGCCTCTGTCCTCCACTGAGGGGTTTGCTGCCTGGTTGGAGAGGGCAAGAATGTTCCTCGAGGGAGAACAACTCAACACTGACCATATGCCAAGGTGAAAATTGAAGTAGCTCAGTTAATAAGAGAAGTAAAATCCAGTGACTACGCAGCCAGAGCTATTAGTGATGGGAAGAGAAAGCCAAAGGAAGCTCCCCATACTGTGGCGTGGATAGGATGGTCTGCAAATGCTTTGGCCCAAGTCATCTTCAACAAATCCCCTGTTTTCATTTCTTCTCCCTCTTCCTGTCCACCTGTCCTTCTCAGTAGTAAGCTCTGCCTCCAGGACCTTTCTCAAGCCCTTGACCTTATTCCTACTCTCACCAGGACTGCTCCATCAAGAGCTCCATCATCTCTTAAAATAGCCTCCTCTTGGGGTTCTGGACTCATCTCTTAGAGCTCTCATTCATCTTTCCTCCTGCTCTTCCAGGTAAATGTCACTTTTGTGCTCAGAAAACCTCACTGATTCTCAAACACCCATAACTTGGATCCAATCTGTCTTTCCAGCCCACCCCTCCCAACTCAAATGCCATCAACCCTCCATTTCTAGCAACACTAGGCCACTCTGTATTCAGATGCTGTGTGCTTTCAGACCTTAGAGCATACTCCAGCTCCAGTGAGGAACACCCTTCTTCTAATGTTCCATCATACTGTCCTTATCCTGAATCCAGTGTTATCTCTTGGACCTCCCTCCCCCATTCTCTTTAGCAGAAGCCATTTCTTTATGACCCACTGCACATCGCTTGGCTCTTATTTTGTCCTTTCGCCTTCAGTTCTGTTCATGCTAGTCTCTGGCTCTTATTTGTAAGTTACTTGAGGGCCAATACCATCTTTTAATTACCTTACTGTTGCCCATACTCTGACCATCAAGCCTTGAGTACAAGAGGATCAATAAATGTGTTTATGTGATAAGAGCCCAACAATTAGTTCCACTGTTCTGAGTCATAAGCTGGGCTTGTCTGAATAATGGCAAGGCAAAACCAGAGACCATGGACCCACTTGCTTTTGGCTTTTTCCTCCTTTTTCTTCCTGACTGTCAGTTTTCTCCTGGAAATCATGTAGATAGGCTGGCATCTTCTCTATGGCTGCTCTTCAGTATATAAATAAGGAAGCAGATATTAACTGATGGGAGTTCTATATCAACAGGTGATAGATGATGGGGAATAAAAGGGCTTGCATGATTAGGATGGTAGGCAAAGGATTGGTATTGAGCAATACACAAAATGCAAGAGTTGGAAAGCCTCTTGGAGACCAAGTGGGCCAATTCCTCTTCCTGCATGCCTGACAGATAGCGCTTACATAGCCTCCACAGTATGCTCCTGATGTAGGGAGCTCATAGTCTCTGGACTCAGCCATCAGGTTGTTAGATAGTTCCTGCCTTGATGGCCTCTTCTTCTGTTCAGCTTCAACCCACATGCAGAGATATTCACCCAATGCTTGTAGTTTTGCACTCGGAAGAATCAGAATTCTCCCTTATCCTTGAGACGGCCCTTTAACCATGCTAGTGGAATTTAAAAAAAATTTATTTATTCATTTTTTCCCATTCATTTGTTTGGTTGATTTTGGGGTATTGAATTTTGTCAACTGATTTTCTCTGACAACTGATGACTATGATTTCTCTTCTTAAGCCTGGGTATGCTTTTCCTGGCTGTTGTAACAAATGACCACAAATCTTAGAGACTTACAACAGCAGGAATGTTTTATCTTACAGTTTTATAGAAGTCCCAGGTAAACCTCGGGGGTCAACTCCTGATGTTGGCACAACCACATCCTTTTCTTTTCTTGGTACCAGGGATTGAACTCAGGGGCACTCGATCACTGAGCCACATCCCCAGCCCTATTTTGTATTTTATTTAGAGACAAGGTCTCACTAAGTTGCTTAGTGCCTTGCCATTTTTGAAGCTGGCTTTAAACTCGCAATCCTCCTGACTCAGCCTCCTGAGCTGCTGGGATTATAGGCATGCACCATCATGCCTGGTGGAATTTTTTTTTTTAAAAAAGAAAAAATTAGCATGTCCTCTTTCTATATTCTCTAGGAAAGATGGGCTAATAACTGTCTAAGTCTAAATGTTTCCTTATCTTTGTCACTTTTCTCTAGCTGTTCACTCTACATTTAAAAAATAAAAATTAGGGGCTGGGGTTATGGCTCAGCGGTAGAGCACTTGCCTCACACATGCAAGGCCCTGGGTTCAATCCTCAGCACCACATAAAAATAATAAAAATAAAAAGTTATTAAATTAAAAAAAAGATAAAAATAAAAATTAACATCACCTCCATTGTGTTTTGGTTTTTTAACTCATCATACAAGTAAAACATATGTATAATTAAATCTTTGGAAAACAAATGTATAAAAGCAAATAAAATTACTTATAATCACAACTAACATATACATACACACACACACACACATACACACACACACACACACACACACACACACACACACACATATATATATATATATATATATATATATATATATATATATATTTTTTTTTAAACATACTTGAGTTCATACTAATTCCAGCTTCCCATATCACTGAAAATTCTTTCACCCAGTTCTTAGTGGGCTGGGTAATCTTACATCAGTACACTCAATGTTATTTAAGCAGTCTCCCATTTACCTATTTTGGGATGTTATGGTAGCTTCTAACTTTTGCTACAATAGGTAATTTTGCGAGGACTATCTGTTCAGTGCCCCAGTCAGGATGGATGGCATAAGTGAACACACATCCTCTGGGTGGTTGGCCAGGGGATTTCAGTAGGGTTGCTGCTTGTTGTGACCCAGACATGCTACTGCTATGAAGCAAACCTCTGATGACCCTACATTACCACCCACAGCCAGGAAAGACAGGGACTTTCTAAGTGCGGTTCACAGCCAGAACTGGGGATGGTGGTGGGTGGGAATAGACATAGAGTTTAAGGAAACCAGTAAGAGGGCTGCTCTGTGACAACTGGAGCCTGCTCTGGCTCTGCCTCCTCCCTGACCTGTGTGATATTTATACCCTTGTTATCGTCACACCTGTGGCCACTTCTGAGTACCTGAGGCGTGCCTGGTATGATGTTGCTGTCTGGTCTTTCCCACCCCCAAGGGCAGAGTCCAGCCCCTCCTCGCCTGAATTCCCAAGGTATCTCTAGCAGGTTTCCAGGAGAGCTCTTATCTCTCTACAGCAATTGCTCACATGCCTATCTCTTCCATCAGACACTCAGTACCTGGAGGCAGGGACTGTGTCCTAGTCAACTTTTATCCCTCACAGTTTATATAAGAAAGTTGTTTGGGGCTGGGGATGTGGCTCAAGCGGTAGCGCGCTCGCCTGGCAGGTGTGCAGCCCGGGTTCGATCCTCAGCACCACATACAAACAAAGATGTTGTGTCCGCCGAAAACTAAAAAATAAATATTAAAAATTAAAAAAAAAAAGAAAGTTGTTTGTTTGATGGATGGGTAAATGAATGTGGAGGAAAGGGCACAGGACAAAGGAAGTACCACGACCCCTGAGCCTTTGTCTCAAGAAGGAGTCCCTGGAAATGGAAGTGGCAGTAAGGTTGAAAGGTTTTAGCCCACACATCTGGGCTCCAGCTGGAGTGGCCTAGTCCCTTGTGCACCCACTTGGCTGTGGAATCTCAGGGTGCTTGGTCCTCACATCCAAGGCTCTTCCTGGATGTAAGGACCAAGCACCCTCAGATTTGCAACACTTCTTCTATGCATTTCTTTTGCAGTACCAAGAAAGAGGGAGGTTTGTGGGGTAAGTCTGAAAGGATGAAAGAGAGGCGGTGGGAGGAGGGAGTGGGGCCAAGCGTTCACTACAGTGCAGTTCAAGCCCAGAGCAACCCATCCAGTTCCGCCCCATACTGGTCCCATGCCCAAGCTGGAGTCTCATCCAGACCCCCCACTCCCCTCACCTACACAGAAGTCTCATCCTGCCTTCCCCACACCCACCACCCCCCGCCTACAGGCAGCAAGATCAAAGCCACCAGGGACCACGGCCACTGTTCTTCCACTTCTTGAGAAATCAAAACCCTTAGCATGGAAACCAGAAAGACCAGGGAGCTGCTGGACTGGCCCTGACTGGCCCCTGGAAGTTGCTCCCATCTGAGCTCAGCACCCTCTCCATCTGGTCACAGTGTGTCCACATCAGTGTCCCCCCATGCTCTTGCCAAAGTCTGCTCCATTTATATGGAAAAACATTCTGCTCTGAAACTTCTCAAGTCACGCTACAGAAAGAGAAGTTAACCCAAGGACATTCAGGATGAGTTTAACACATTTTGTATCAATGGTTTGGTACCCCTATTACCTGCTCACATGTACCTCCCTTTAGCCATGACTACAGAACCAGACTAACGAACCCTAGGGAAGATAAGACTTGAAAAGAAGAGGGCAGACTTCAGCTCAGACTTGGGGAGAAAAATTGAGGGGGAGGTAAGGAACAGGTACCAAAGGACACTGGAGAAAAACGGAGGCTGGGGACACTTAGGGAAAAGGAATAGTGCTGAGAGATGCATTTTAATGAGTAATTTCCTTGCAGGATGGTTTCCCATGTGCACAATCCTAGCCACCACTTAGAACACCACAACTTAGCCTCTGGAGAGAGCCTCAGGCCATCTGTCCAACTCCCCACTAGAGCAGGGAAGAATGAATCCTGTGCAGATGAGGATGGAAGCCAGGTGCTTCAGAGTAGACTTTGGCACCTTGAAGTGTTTTTTCTCTATTTACACAAAACAAGACTTTGGAAGAGATGGAGTTTGCAAACAGTAACATGAAGCATGGAGGAGGGAGTTGAAACTTGTGTTCAACGGAATGTGTTTTTGGTTCCAAGGGAAGGCTCTGGAGGTTAAACCCAGGGACTCACAGGAGACTCAGTCACTTGTCCTGTCTGACTGCCAGCGTGGCCCTTGCTCCTGTTGCGGCAACCCAAATGTGCATGTGGCAAGAGTGTCTCAACATTGTTTGACATTCTTTTTTTTTTTTTTTTAATATTTTTAGTTGTCGGTGGACCTTATTTTATTTATTTGTATGCGGTGCTGAGAATTGAACCTAGTGCCTCATGCATGCTAGGCAAGCGCGCTACCACAGAGCCTCAACCCCGGCCCCCTGACGTTCTTTTCTTTACAATTTTCACATTAATTTCAGGGCAAGAGCATTGGAGAGTTTCTGGCATTTGGGTTGGTGAGAGGCATAAAATAAAGCAGGGCTAGTTGTCTCAGCACAGAAACAAACTGGAAAGCGTTGAAGCACCTGACTTCCATCCTAATTCTGAAGAGCAATCCTCATCTATACATTGCCATTAAGCAGGGCAATGTGGTAATTTAGACAATAACTAATTGATGGCTTCCGTATGCAGCAGAGAGATCCACAAAACAAATAATGGCAGTTCATGTTAGTTCCATCCAGAGCTGTCCAACAATGACTTATTTTCCAGCTTACAGGATCCTATTATGTATTTATTTATTTTGGTATTGGGGATTGAATCCAGTGGTGCTTAACCACTGAGCCACATACCCAGCCCCCTTTTTAAAAAAATATTTTTAATTTTTTTAGTTGTTAGTGTACCTTTATTTCATTTATTTACTTATATGTGGTGCTGAGAATTGAACTCAGTGCTTCACATATGCTAGGCAAGTGCTCTACCACTGAGCCACAAACCCAGCCCTCCCCAGCCCTTTTTTGTATTTTATTTAGAGACAGGGTCTCACTGAGTTTCTTAGTGCCTCACCATTGCTGAGGCCAGCTTTGAATTCATGATCCTACTGCCTTAGCCCCCTGAGCCTCTGGGATTACAGGTGTACACCACTGCACCCAGCTACATTATATATATATTTTAAAGCAAGATACACAGTGAAGTTTTGGAAAGAATGAACATTTAATATACATAAATATGGATGTAGTTATCTCCCAATATATTTATTAAAAATGACAACTTGGTATTGCTGGCTCATAAAGCAGTGCTGGATGGGCTACATTTCCTAAAATACAGATTCCTGGGCCTCCACCAATGATTCTGATTCTGGAGGTCTGAGGTAGAGCCCAATCTCTGTTTTGAGGAAGCAGTGGGTTGGTAACCTCCAAACCTTCTACCTCCATCTAGGATTCTGACTGATCCCCAGACATTGCAGAAACTTCTTACCTGAATCCTGGGATCATCTTGGCAAAGCCGATCACCTTTTGGATGCTGTAACTGACCAGGTCAGCTAGGTGGGGCAGCATGGATAGTTGGGACAGGTCCAAAGTCACAGAAGGATCATCTGGGTCTTCTTCACTTAGATCCAGGTTGGAGAAGTTAGATGGCTCCATCATGTCTGGGGAAAAGGAGGAAAGAGTAGGAACTATTTAAGAATACTCAGACCAGAGCCAGGCATGGTGGTGCATACCTGTAATCCCAATGGCTCTGGAGTCAGAAGCATGAGGATTGTGAGTTCAAAGGCAGCTTCAGCAACTTAGTGAGGCCCTAAGCAACTTAGCAAGAACCTGTCTCAAAAAATAAAAAGGGCTGGGAATGAGGCTCAGTGGCTACGCATCCCGGGTTTAATCCTTAATACTTCCCCACAAGAAAAGAATACTCAGGTCAGGTCCCTCTTGCCTGCCCCTACAAGGACCTCATGTGCCCTGGAAGCAAAGCCAACAAGGGACCCCACAGTGACAGCCTCCCTCCAAAGGCCACACTGCAGCTCCAGGATTCCCTCTGGGTCTCTTCTGGTCTCTTCTAGCAGTGTGAGGTGTGAAGCAGTAAAATCAAAGAGCTGGAAATACTTAGAGAAACAAGACTTCCTTGAGCCATGATTTTGCAGACCACGTGATTTTGCAGAGCATGGATCAGATGGTCCTTTCCACACAGCCTGCATCAGAACTTGGCCTCTCCCTCAGCATGGGCCCAGTACAAGTCAGTGCCCTTCTGTGATCTCCATTAAAAATGAATTTGGGACCAATCAACTTGTGTGTGTGTGTGGGGGGGGGGATGTTCAACCTCCCTAGTGATGAAAGAACTACAAAGTAGAACATCTACACTATTCACCTATAAACTGCAAACAAATGTTTAAATGTTGATACCAGTATTTGTAAAGATACAGAGAATTAGGCAATTATCATGCAGAGCTACAGGTGTACATTTGTACAGGTGATCTAAGCTATTTGACAATAGGGGTCAAAGTCTGTAATTAAGTATACTTTTTGACCAGTAATCCCACTTTCATGAATTCACCATAAGGAAAGAATTCAGAATATAACTGTAAATATTTATCTACAAGCAAAGTATTATCCTTCTGAAAAGCTGGGAAATAATCTAGCTATCCAGGTGGCAGGGGATTTAGATATGTTATATCTCCGAATACTATGCAGCCTTTAAATACTAATACTATATTATAGATGAATAGTGAAAGACATGGAAATATGATACAATATACTATTTCAATTTTTTTGGAAGTACTAGGGATTGAACCCATGGGTGCTTTTACTACTGAGCTTCATCTACAGTTCTTTATATTTTGAGACAGAGTCTTGCCAAATTGACCAGGCTAGCCTCAAATTTGCAATCGCCAAGTCTCAGCCTCCTGAGTCACTGGGATCACAGTCATGTGCCACTGCACCTGACATACGTATACTATTAAGAGGAAAAAAAAAGCAGTGATCTGACTTAGGGCACAATTCCATTTCTGAATACAAGGGATCCCATAGTGACAGCCTCCCTTCAAACATATGTGTTTTTTAAAAAAAAGATGAAGAAGAGATACTTCCTAATGTTAATGGTAATTTTCTTGGCTCAGGAAGATTAAAGATTATACATAAAATAAGTTTTATAGATAATGCCCTTTAACAATGTATGCTCCAACAGTTACCTCTGTCCTGCTGGCCCTGGAACCCCTTCCGTCTATTCTGGATCCATGCACAGATCCATCACTGAGTCTGAAAATTCCTTATCTAAGGGATGTAGTTATCCAGAGGGAAGATAGGGTTTCTATCCCTGCCCTCAAATAGGCCCTAAGTGGAGGACACCAGAGCTGGGTGAGGGGTGGAGGGAGAAAGGACAAGGGCAGGGGAGGATGAGGAGGAGGATGAGGAGAAAGGTATAAAAAGGCCATAAGAAGGAAAGACTGTGCCTCCCAGGCTCTTGGGTGAACTGGAGGTGGCCGATCCTCCAGGGCTATAGTGCTCTCCCAGAGCTCAGGAACATGTCTGCTTTCCACTCTGATTTCACCTCCCCAAACAGCCCAGAATCAAAACATCATTTAAAGGAATCAGGTCACCCCCAGGGAGGGAGCCAGAACCTGGCTTAGAGGAAAGAGCATGAATCAGATGGTCCTTTCCACACAGGCTGCATCAGAGCTTGAACTCTCCCTCAGCATGGGCCCCATGCAAGTCAGTGCCCTTCTGTGAAAATGAGGTTGTTTTGAGGACACTGTGTGGTGCACAGTATGCAAATGCTGGTCACAGTAGGGAGCTTTCTGCCTCTTGTCATCCAGCAGCTCAAGGACAGGTGGGTGGGCTCCCCTCCCCTGTTGGCCTGGCAGTGGTGGGAAGTCCGGCTTACCTAGAGAGGTGGTGTAGAGATCTGAGCCAGAGGAAGAGGAATTCCTGGAAAAGCTGGGAGTGTGCCCTGCAGGATAACTCCCTTCTCTCTCATGGTCTCGAACTGGAGGCTGGAAGGGAAAGATGGGGTCTCAGAGGCCCCTATTTTCAGGAATGCCTTTTTGTTTTGGTCCTGATCTCTGTCAGCAATGCTTTCAAGGAAGATCTACAGGAATGGAAGGCCTCCCAATGCCAGAGGGGCAGAGCAGCTTCTGTCCCTTCCCTGATTCCATGCCAGCAGGCCCATGGCCCCCCATTCCTGCTCCCAGCCCAGCTCATTTCTGGTTCTCCACTAGCTCTTGCTCATACTCCCTGGCTGGAGGACATACCCGGAACTGGTCAAAGTCGGCATAGGTGGGATCATAGGTCTTGTGGTGGGCGTCCAGCAGGATGGCAATGATGTGCTGCTGTTCCTCAGATAGCTTGGGCCGCAGACTATCCTTCAAGGCCTCTTCCTCCTTCCGCTTTAGGATCATCTCCCGCTTGCGCTGCACCTCCTCATCTGTCAGTATGACTGTGGGAGCAGGAAGGGGAGTCAGGAGGGCTGGTCCACAGCTCCTCCAGGAAATGTTCATCCAGTATTAAAGGACCAGCATGGGAGGAACTGGCTGTCTCCTCACACTTGGGGCTCCCTGGGGCTCCAATGCCACAATATGGAAATAAATTAGGTTAGCTCTGATGAAAAGGCAGGACATCCAAGAAGAAGAAAGAGGATCTGGGAGGCAAGATGGGCTGGCATTAGGGAGTCTGGATTCCCAAGAACAAGTTGTGGGATCTTTAGCAAACTGCTCAAACTCTAGGCTTTTGCCAGGTGCAGTGGCGCACACTTGTAATCCTAACGGCTTGGAAAGCTGAGACTGGAGGATCACGAGTTCAAAGCCAGCCTCAGCAATAGCGAAGTACTAATCAACTCGGTGAGACCCTGTCTCTAAATAAAATACAAAAAAAGGGCTGGGGATGTGGCTCAGTGGTTGAGTGGCCCCAATCCCAGTACCCTAAAAAACAATTCTAGGCTTTTGTTCTTCCATTTATAGAATGAGAAGTTGGACCATATAACTTGTTTCTTGTTATTTTCTCCATAATGTGTGTGTGTATGTGTGTGTAGGTGGGGGAGTTTTAGGACCCAGATGCAAGGCTGACACTGTGCAGGTGCTCATGAAGCATTAGTCTTCCTCCACCCTCCCATCCCATGGCCTATGGTCCTGAAGAAGAGAGATATGAAGGTAACGTTACAGTGAATGAACAACTGTGTGGACACTCACAGTTGGAGTGATGGATGATAAGAGATGCCAAAAAGATCCCTCTTCATAGTCATTCTCACATCCATTTCCCAGCAGGAAACTCAGGCATCTGGTCTACCCTGACCAACTTCTTTGGTTATCTGCAAAACTACCCATCTTCCAGTCTGTCCAGTCTTGATATTTCTACTTAAGGAAGTTTTTGAGCTCTCTTAGAGTCTCTGAAGGCTGACACCTCACATCTCTAATCTGGGATGTTCTCTCCAAGTTGCTAGTGGATGACTGGCCATGAGACCCTCTGTCACTTGCAGGTTTGGGCAAGGATGACCTGCCACACTGTGCTGGGATGGCTGCCCTGGAGGGTGGGGCTGTAGCAGGGATGCCTGGCACAACAGCCAGGCAAACAGACCTCCTGGCCAGGGCTTGCAGAGCGCTGATGGCAGGAGTGGGCACTGGGGCATCCTGTAGCTACTTGCTCTTCACTGGAGCTGCCAGGCATCTGCCCACAGTGCTGGGGAGTTTCACAAGAGCAGGGAAAGGATCAATAACCTCAGAGTGGGTGGGTTCCAGGCTTCAAGAAAGGCCAATTGACCCAGGTCCCCTAGGTAAGGGGATAATGAGAGAAGTTGGTGGGGCCTGAAGAAGAACCTAAGGCTGGTGGGAGGATACAACTAGGGCCACAGGCATAGCAGGAAAAGTAAGCCTACGGCAAAAGATGGAGCCTTCCCTTCACGCTGAGCTAAGCCATACCAAGAGGAGGGCTGGGAGGAGGCCATGCCCAGGTGATTGACTCAACCACCCAGAGCTGCCAATCTCCTCCCACAGAGGGTGTCTACTCAGACTCTAAGAGATCAAGAAGGGTGGGGAGAAAGGAGCAGAGCAGGGAAAGGCAGGATATAAGGCCCTGGCCTGGGGAATCCCAGATTAGGTGTCTGTTCTTTCTTGCTCATCTGAAGGGTGGATAAAGGGGGTAATGTGATCAGAACTAAGTAGGCCAGGCTCTGCCAGGCACACTGTGGATATCCACAGGCATGTTTCTCAGTCTTAATGGACTTTGGCATCCCTCCTGTGATTCTATGATGTTATTCTCCTGCTTAGAAATGTTTCTTAGCTCCTTCCTGCTTACCAGGCTCAAACCAAAGTCAAGGATCTCCAAGATCTGGCTTCTTTCTAACTTTCCAACCTCATTTCCCAGCACCTCTGGACACTGCTTCTGCTGTAGGCATGTTGGCATTGCTGACCTGTGAACATGACCTGCGCACACCTCCCCCTGAATTTCCACCTGTGCTGGATGTTTGTCCAGTTGGGTCTTCCCTCCCCAGTAGCTGTATAAGTTTTATCACTTTCTCAATGCCCAGCTTAACACCCTCCTTTTTTGACTGCCCTGATCTGCACTGTGCTCTCGTTTCTTGTGGCTGACACGTATTTAATCTTTCCCATTCACATTGACCCCTAATCATCTTCCATTCTTTTTTTTTTTTTGGCACCAGGGACTGAACTCAATGCACTTAGACATTGAACCACATCCTGGCTCTTTTTAAAATATTTTATTTAGAGACAGGGTGTCATTGAGTTGCTTAGGGTCTTGCTAAGTTGCTGAGACTGGCTTTGAACTTGCAATCCTCCTGCCCCAGCCTCCTGAGCCACTAGAATTACATGCATTAGCCATGTTGCCAGGCTTCAACTTCCATTCTTTAATACTAATGGTTAGTATAGGTTTTAATAAATGCCTACAGAGAAAACCTAAGAAGTGAAAGTCTCCTTCACTAGACTGTAGTTTACTTAAGGACAGGGGCCCTGTCTTAGAATTCTTGCCTTTCCCAACACAGGCTCAACCAGAGGGGCTTTCTGGCCATGGTGCTTGCCAGAAAGTCTGACACCAAACATTGAGCACATCAACACAGACTGCACCTACTATGTGCAAGTCATTTTCCTGGGCTTGGGGAAGGACAGTAAGGAATGCATCAAGTCATACATCCCCTGAAATGTTGGAAATGGCACACATGGCACACCTGGCCACTGCATAACTGAGCGAAGCTAAACTCTTTGATTAAATAATTGTGATTGAAATATTTTTCAGAAAGACTATCTTGTAATGGCATCCTTGTACATCCTAAAACCTTTTCTCAATGATTCAGAGACCTCATTCTGAATACTCTTCAAACATTCAGGTCAAGGTCATGACCTCAGGGTTGTGCACTTTGGAGTGTTGTGCTCCTTCTCACAGCTTGGTCTGTGCCTTTCTGCTAAGCTATGCATTGCCTCCTCTTGTCAGTATCTGCCTCTAGAAGTGTGCTTTTCTTCCCTCCAGTGTTACTTCTGATCTGTTGGGAGCTAGAAATCTTGGCAATCAAGTCTGGTATAATAAAAAGATAGCATTAATAGTAATGTATAACATACATAATTTCTTGTTGTATACCAGGCACTGTTCTAAGTGCTTTTTGTACATGCACTTATATATATTTAGTCCTCTCTTAACAATCCTTAAAGGCAGGCACTATTAGTATGCCCATTTTGCAGAAGAGGGAACAGAGTCTCAAGTCACACAGCTAACAAATGGTAGAGCTGATGTTCAGACCTGGGCAGTCTGGTTCTGGAGTCAATGGCTATAATCATAACCCCATACTGCCTCTGACCCTAGCCAGCTATGACTGCTCAGTAGGACTCTGGCTCTCAGCCATCAATTCTGACAAACAAGGTGCTCCAATCCATCTGAAGAGTATAAAGAATTCAATAAAGTAGCAAAGAATGTCAATGGCTTACTTTAAAAAGACAAAAAGGATTCATGGTTAACTCTAAAACAGTGTTCTTCCCAACTATTGCCTCAGATAGCAACCACCATCTTTGGGCGAGTGGGAGACTGGACAAAGAAACCTAAGAAACTCTGTTTTACCCAAGGTGCCCAATCCAGGAACCTCCCTCCCACAAGGCCATGTAGTTTAGGGACTGAATAAGCCATAAGCCTCTCACATATACAGATACTATTATGATTTATGAAATAATTTTTAAAGGGGTTATTAATTTCATTGGTTTCTGAAGTTGTCCTTGAACCTGTGATCCTCCTGCCTCAAACTTCTGAGTCACTGGGATTACAGGCAAGTGCCTCCATTCCTGGCAAGAGACACGTTTTGAAGAGAAAAGCCACTGAGCTAGAATAAGGGTAAATAGGTCTGAAAGAGCTGCATTTGAGGGGCTCTCCAGTGAATAAAGCTATGAGCTTTGGTCCCTGCTCATTGTGAAACACTGTGAAAACTACACTGCTGCTCAACAGCTTTTTTGACATCTCCCAAGTTCCTAGCTAGATGTGACTTTGTGCAAGTTATTTCCTTGTAAGCCATGTTCTCTGTCAACAAAGCCTAGACTCGAGTTGGGAAATCAGATCCGCAAACATAAATGATTTAAAAACATTTCACGATGGCCATGGGTATCAAAGGAAGTGGACAAAATATTTTTCCAAATGAATGACAGAGACAATTATCAGGTTTGGAATAATCTTTTTGGCTTCTATAGACAAGTGGCGATATAGAGACCTAAGAAGTATAGTGTGGAGCTATGTGCTTCATGTGGGGACATGGAGAGGTCTAGGAGGGGACATGGGTTGGATGCAACCCATAATAAGTAAGTAAAGCTGGAGGCTATAAAGGAAGGGTTCTTGGGTAGGAGTGCCAAATAATAACAATCACAAAGGACTCTGGAGTTGCATGTTTGTCCTGAGTTGAGTTGAGCCTGATCTCAGACCTACAAATCTTCCTAACCTCCTACATTGATAAACTCCATCTGTTTGTAGAAATTCACACTGGGGAAATGTAACAATCATCCACTTTATGCTTTGAATATAGCTGTATTCCAGCTTAGCCACCAAATTGTTCTCAACACAGATTTATTGAGCACCTACTATGTGCCAGGCACTGTGCTAACACTGGAGAGAAAACATATATATTTGCAAAAAAAAAAAACTGAGGTTTACATAATAGGTGGTTCTGTGTAGGATGAGTATAGAATAAGCAACATGCAAGAGCTCAACTATGGAATGTCTTGGGTTCCAAGGACATACAGTCAACAAGAATTGGAAGAGAAAGAAGAGGACTCTTGGTGGGGACAAAGCTCTCTTTAGCTTGTCCGCAGGCAGTATCTGGAAAGGTAAAATGGAGAGAGCTCTGACTATTAGAAGCACCCGAGAGGCTGCCCTGGGGTGGACCCCATAAGCCTGGCCTTTGGAAGCAGACAGACCTATGTTAGAATGAATGTTGAACGTTGATACCATCATCTTATTAGCTCAGAGGCATATTTTAATTCCTTCAATCTTTCTTAGTTTTTTTTTTTTTTGTACCAGGGATTGAACCCAGGGGCGCTTAGCCAGTGAGCTACATCCTCAGCCCTTTCTATCTTGTATTTAGAGACGGGGTCTTACTAAGTTGCTTAGGGCCTTGCTAAGTTGCTGAGACTGGCTTTGAACTCCTGCCTCATTCTCCTGAGCCACTAGGATTACTGGTGTGCTCTACCATGACTGGCTTTTCTTAGCTATTAAAAAAAAAATAGAAGTATTTACATATTTAGGGGTTGTTGTAAGAGTTTAAGAAGAAAATGCATGTCTGACACAGTATCTTGTATCAATAAACACTGGCTTCTGCTAAAGGAGCCAAGAGGCTTTGCACACATCCCCAAGAGTGACCTCTGAGGAATCTCAGCTGACCCTTAAGAGTAGATAGGAACAAGGTCAGTTTTGACCAACTTGGTCTTAAATACCTGGCAGGAGAGTGGTATTTAAGACCAAGTTGGTCAAAACTGATCTTGTTCCTAGCCTAAGCACAGTCCTACATGGACATTTAAAAGGAAAAACAATGTTTTTTTATATATAACTAAAGATGTATACTTGTGTCAGCCCTACCAAGAGTGAGTAAAGCTGGAGGCTATAAAGGAAGGGTTCTTGTGTGGGAATGCATAATAATAATGATCACAAAGAACTCATGTTTGTCCTGAGTTGATTTGATCCTGATCTCATAGACCTACAAATATTACTAACCTTCTATATCCATAAACTTCATCTATTTTTCACTGACATGACCATGAGTTACTGTCTTCATGGTTTTCAGAGACTGGCTGAAATACTAATTGTTTTTGTGCCAATTGTTTACAAAAAAGTAATCTTTGCTGTCTTGTTTATAGTTGTCTCAGCATGATCCCTGTCCTATGTATGCCTTGTCCAGTCACCTGCCATCTGCCACTGTGGACCTCTGGACTGCTCTGATATTGAATACTCTTAAACGTCCATATCCCACATGATAGAGAACAAGAACTTTGGGTTACTTCCCTTAACTTTGCTCCCTTTCAGAAGGAAGCAGTTTAGAGATGTTGTTGCCCATTTTCCCATAGAAATGGAATGCAGGAATTCACAGTGGGGAAATGTAACAGTGGTCCACTTTATGCTTTGAATATAGCCCTTGCTGCTCTGCCACTGCAACTGATTTATTTGTTTGTTTGTTTGTTTGTGTGGTGCTGGGGATTGAACCCAAAGCCTTGTGCATGCAAGGCAAGCACTCTCCCAACTGAGCTATATTCCCAGCCCAGCAACTGATTTAAACTTTTTTTTTTTTTTAGTTGTTGAAGGACCTTTATTGTATTTATGTATATGCACTGCTGAGAATTGAACACAGTGCCTCACATACGTGAGGCAAGCGCTCCACCACCGAGCTACAACCCCAGCCCCCCTGCAACTGATTTTTTAAATGAACATGTTTCTTTCTCTTCCTCTCTCCTTGCTCCTCTTTAATCTCTCCTCCTCCCTAATCTCAGGATAAATTGGATTTTTTTCCCCATTTAGGGAGATTTATCTGTATTTGAGTACACACTCACCATAGGAATAAAGTAACCCAGACTTTGGGGATGGTACCAGAAGACCTCAGAAATGACTATCTCCCAAATTAACACATGAATTACAACTCCAACAGAGAACATGTGGAAGGTAGCTTTTAAATGAGCTCTTTCAAAGCACCCTGTTCCTGCTGATGGGCAGAATCACAGCCTCTGGGACAGGAGTTCCCTGTGTTTCTCCTTTGCTAGCAAAGTAATAAACCTTCTTTTTCATTTTTCTCAAAAACAAAATCAAAGCAGGGCACAGCAGTGTATGCCTGTAATCCCAGAGGCTTGGGAGACTGAGGCAGGAGGATAAAGAGTTCAAAGCCAGCCTCAGCAAAAGCAAGGTGCTAAGCAACTCAGTGAGACCCTGTCTCTAAATCAAACTCAAAATAGGTCTGTGGATGTGGCTCAGTGATTGAGTGCCCCTGAGTTCAATCCCCAGTACTTCCCCAACTCCCAGGAAAAAAAAAAAAAAGAAAAAAAACACTAATTTCTATCTTCACCCCCTTTCCCTTTCTATGTCTCCTCTGTAGAGGGCCTATCTATCTGCTCTGGCCAGAAGGGAGCCTGGGTTTTTAGCTCCTTTCCTATGGTTTTACAAATTTTGAGTCACTTGATTGTTTTAGGGAGGCTAGGCCCTGGGACAACAGCTTGCCAATCAGGGAACAGCTCTCCTAGGACTCTGAGCTAGGGACTCTGGGCCCGGACACACGTCAGCTGAGCTGACGTGAGCAGGAACTAAATCTCTTCGGGGACAACCTACCCTTCAGGGCAGTGAAAAAGATGGGCTTGTGCTGGCCCAGTGCTTCAGTTCTAACTACAGCTCATCCACAGCTCAGTACAGCCGCCTGCCCTGGAGGCACAAGAGCTTGTGGGCAGGACAGGGCACAGGGCTCCATAGGGCAGGTCTAGGCAGAGGCACAAAGCTGATTGGTGTGGGCATTCAGTTTTGGATGACTGGACCCACTATGTGGTGTGGTGTTCATGACCAGGGGCTCCTGATTTAGCTCCTGGGACCTGGTATTGCTCCTCACCGTAGTTTCTGTGCTCCTTGGGGGATCTGGAGGGGTTTAGGAGGGGACATGGGTTGGATGCTATTCTAGTCTAGCCACTAAATTATTTTCTGACCCTAATCCTGATGTTTTTACTTTTTTGGGTTTCAGAGGATCTCTGTCTTCCTCCTCTAACAGGCTAACAGGACATCCCCTTTCCCTAAGGAACAGGCCAAAGGCTCCTGGGCCATCAGCAAAGTTGACCTAACTCCTGAGACAAGTGTCTTACTGAATGCCAAGATGGAGCCCAGGCCATTCTTGGGTGGCTGAAGCTCCCTGCCCTGAAGGGCAATGTGCTTCACAGAGGCAGGGCAGGTGCTGCACCTTGTTTATGCCCACAGAGCAGACCTCACTAAGATGGGGTGCAAAGGCTCATAGGTCCCCAGACCTTGGGACTGCATGTTCTCACTCTCTCCAGCATAAAAACAGGAGCTGGGGTGGGGCAGGGACTGGGTAGAGTGATCAGCATGTCTAGGCCTGCACCCTCCTGTAGGGGTGAGGAACCACAGCCTGGAAACTCCTCCCAGAGCTGCCAGTGTTGGCTGGGGAGCTGGGATCAAGGTGATGAGCCTTAGTCAAGGCCTAGGAGGAAGCCCAAGGTAGGGCTCAAACACTGCCTGTTTCCTAGCAATGGTGAATTTTATTCCCATTGAGGAAGACATTTCTCATCACCTAAGGCCTTTCCTATTACTTTCTCAGCTGTTACTGGCATATCTTTCCTTACCTACCCCCAAAATGGTCCCAAAGCCAGGAGGGCTTCTGGGATTCTTGTGTTTGAAAGCCCACCTCCCACCCCAGACTCCCCAGGCCACAGCTTGGCAGGGCATGGGTTCTGTTCTGGGGCTGGGGTAGAGGTCTGCCAGCCAACTGCAGACCAGAGTGCTCAGCGGGAGTAGAGTGAGAATAAAAAGTGCACCAGCCTCCTATGGCTGGGCTGGTCTAGCCCCCTTGCTCCAGCCTAGGGGGCGCTATAAGCAAGCCTCTCCCAGCATTGGCTGAATTCAACAGCATTCAAGTCAAGGGCTTGTTTTTGTTTTGGGTTTCTTTTTCTTTTTCGGTACTGGGGACTTAACTCAGGGGTACTTTACTGCTGAGCCACATCCCAGCCCTTTTTATTTTTTATTTTGAGACAGGATCTCACTAAATTGCTGAGGCTAGCCTCCAACTTGTGATCCTAATGCATCAGCCTCCCAAGTTGCTGGGATTACAGGTGTGTACCACTATGCCCTACTCCAGGGCTTATTTTTAATGGTGGGTCAGAATATCCCTGTAAATCAGCCACGGTGGTCTTCTTCTCCAACCCTAGAGTTGTATAGGAAGTGCTATAGGAAGTGAGGGTCATCCTAGAGCCTTGGTGCTTCACCTAGCAGAATCTTCCCCCAGCCTTCCCAGGGCACCAGCCCTCAGATTGATCACAGGACCTACATGGCTGAAGGCCAGGGTGGGGACCCCTTCCTGCTAGGCTCTGCATATTTCTTCTCCCCACCACCTGCCCCTCCTCACCACAGCTGCTCTCCCTCCAAAGTCCAGAGAAGTCTGAGCCTCATCTTTTCCTCTAGGTCTAGGGAATAAACAGGGAGCAGTGAGACTATGATGATATCCTGGAGAAAGACTGTGACCTGGGGGTCATGAAAGCAGTGCCCCCTCTCCCTCTCTCTGCTCACTCTGAGGGATCCTCCAGGGGTCTCAGGACAAAAGCACAGGACCTAGAGAGGCTCAAGGGCTCCTTGGTGCATTTGGCCCTACCGCTCCAACAGTCCTACCCTAGCAGCTGGTCATACAGAGAAAAGGCAGACAGAACTCTCAGGCAAAACTTGCATGATGGTGGTCAAAGCCTTCACGCGATTCCAGTTCATCCTCCACCCCTGCCTCGCGCCCTAGGCACTCACATTCCTTCATCATGCCAATTTCCACACAGCGCTTGAGCCGGCAGGCCTGGCAGTGGCGTCGGTTGTCCTTGGTGATGCGACAGTCCCCACTGAAGGGACAGGTGAAGAGCGCCTTCCGTTTCATGCTCCGCCTGCAGAGAAAGCACATGCCTGCACTAGGTCACTGACCTTCTGATTCCTTAGTGCTGGCTATGAATAGCCTGCCAGGTCCATTCCACCCCTGCCCCCCTCCAGGATGCAGGGCCCATCCCAGCCCCTAGGCCACCGTCAGTGACCCCAGTTCCCTATGCCCTGCCCTAGCTTCATGTACCAACCAGTCCCTCCTCCTTCATTTATTGCCTCCTTAGCTCTCATCATTGCTTTTACTTACTTTTACAGCCTTTAGTTCCCCTCTCTTTTTAAAATGACACAGGAAATACACAAGTGAATTTTTCCAGTAAAATTTTCTAAATCCCTAAAATCTGCAGAGTAGCCCTCATAATGAGGCTTTTAATGAGAGGCAAGGATGCCAGTCTCAGCTTTCAGTCTTCTAGAGTTTAGAGGTCTGTGACTAGGACAGTCTAGATGTCTGTGTCTAGGACATCCTGTGATCCAGGGATGGATTTGTGCACAGGAACGTAGAGAAGGGAGAAAAGGCCCAACCCCAAACCATAGCTCTATTCACCTGAACAGCCTGCCCAGAAAGGGAGGAGCAGGTAGGAGCAATGGCCTCCTGGAAGGCAGAGGAAGCCAGGGAAAACTATAAGAACTGAAAACTATCAAAGAGTTTTGAGCTAGGGAGCTGCCCTCCCCTGTGGGGTGTAGTATGGAATATTCTCTGTGTGTGATAGTGTGTGTGTGTGTGTGTGTGTGTGTGTAGTATGCACACATATGCCCTTGCTTGCTTGTGCAAGCTTGAGGGCTCATTTTCCTAATTTGATGTTCTCTCCCATGCCAACCACACCGTGTAGACTTTGGAGGCTGCATAAAGAACACCTCCCTCAAAGACTCTCCCTATCCCTGTCCTAGAGGCTTCTCACCATCCCTTCATGTGCCTCTCACCCCCCAGCAGGCCAGCCCAGGCTTATGCACATAGTGAGGGAGGGTGGAAGTCCTCTAGCTTATAGCTCTGCGCAAAAATGTCCATACACTCTATGGATCAAAACAAGTTACCAATCAGTTTAGATTCAAGGAGTGGAGAAAGATGGCTCCATTTCATGAGAGGAACTTCAAAGTCACACTGCAAAGAGCCTGGGCTCAGGAATGGGTAAAACTTATAATCAATGTATGCCTTCCAGCCCCAACATGATCAGGCCCCACTTTTCCCCCCAGGGAAGGTGACAAAATTTAGCTAAAGAAAAATGGTGACAGAATCTCTTTTTTGTGTGAGTAGTAGCATCTTCCAGAGAACTTCTGAGTATGGAGATAACAGAACCTCAAAAAGTCCCAGTCCCAGCCCTTTCTCTCCCAAAGATGAGCAAGTAGCATCATTCTCTCCAGATGACAAGACACTAATTAGGATTCTTGGGTTAAAAAAAAAAAAAAGACTCACTGATCATGTTCCCTGGAACACGTATGGGGTTTAGGACAATCACACTCATCAGTTGACAGACTCGGTCCAATAAACAGACAGATGGGGACCAGACCAATCTGGCCATGGGATGGGGGAGAAGAGATCGGAGTGAGACTCTGCAGCAGCCCAGTTAGTCACAGATCCTCATATCCACAGGTGACCAGAGACCATTAGTGTGACCCCTTCATTTAATTAATGTGACCACTGAGGTTAGGAAACTTATCAATAAGACTATTTAGCAAAAGTTAAGGCTTTCAGATCTGGAAGTTGGGAATCTGAGACTCAGTTTCCAGATTCTTGGATTATTTTCAACTCCAGAAACTCAAAGTACTGGGTAAAACTGAGCCCACATGCAAACAGTCCCAGGAAGCAAGCCCTTGAGTGCATCTCAAGACCAAGAAGGACCCAGTGGTAGAGGAAGTAGCTGCTATTGGTTTTTAGACACTAGCTCTGGTATGCTTTTGTGATGACCCTCATTACCCCAGGGGACAGGAGCAGACCCAGGGTTGTGAGGGGAGGTGGAGCAGTGCCAGTCTATTAGGGGTGCCTTAGATCCATGCCCAGCCCAGCTATGGCCCAGCCTGTCCTGTAGTTACTGCCCAGAGAGTGATACAATATCGAGCCATTGTCCACCACTGTCCAACTTTTCAACTTAGCCTCAAGACCCCGATTGCAGGGATAGTTCTTTCCTGAGCAACAGCAGAATATGGAAACTGTTGGGCTACCCAGAGATCAGACAGCCACCACCACAGGCTTGGCTCTACTGCAGGACGGGCGCCCCTCCCTCGCTCCTTTCCCTCCTTCCACTCAGTGGTTTTTGAGGCTTCACCTGTTACCACAAATGCCCACAATTCTCTAAACCCACTCAAAGACCAAACATTTCTAATTCAGAGAAAACTCTCATTTCCTTTTTTTTTTTTTCTTCAAAACCAGGCATTTAGCCCAGGGGTCCAAGGAACCACTCTGTCCTCCACCCACTGTCTTGTCTGGCTCTGACCTCTTCCTGTGAAGCTTCTAGGGCCATGGGCACCAAGAAGAGCTCACAGGTGGGCTGTTGGCCTGGCCAGTGACCTGAGTCAAAGCCTCATCTGTCCCTAGCTAGGGCTGAGAGCTTGCTGAGACCCCAAAAGGGGGCATCTGGAGCCCTTCAGAGGCTCCCCTGTCCTTCCTTGGGCTTTAGGGAGCCTGCCTCTGAGCCTCACCAGGGGATAGCCTCCAAAAGCGAGGTTGCCTGAAAAGAGACTTTGGCACTTCACTCTTTTTAAAAAATTGTTCTCATGTAGTTTTAAACCTGAAGCCCAATATCAGGCTTCCACACAGAAGACGTTGTAGGTAGCCACTCAGCCAAACTTCACCTTATTGCAAGAATGGACTCTACTGAGGCTGGGTTAGGAATACAAGGATTACAGAGCTGGGTTAACAGAAAACACTATACAAAGTGTAGTATGAAACTCAAGAGTATTACAAAGGATAAAGAGAGGAAGGAAGAGGAAGAAAATGAGATAGAGAAAGAGGGAAGGGAGGAGAAGGAGAATTATAAAGTTCTGGCACTTTCTAGGGGCAGGCACACAATCTCACAGTAGGACTAGAACTGGGAAGAATATAGCCTGTGCTCTTGGCCCTTTTTTTTTTAAAAAATTTAGTTGTAGATGGACACAATGCCTTTATTTTATTTGTTTATTTTATGTGATGCCGGGGATGGAACCCAGTGCCTCACACTTTAGGAAAGCGCTCTACCACTGAGCCACAACTCCGACCCTCTTGGCCCTTTTTTAGGCAATGCAAAAAAAGCAGCTTATACATTTTATGGAAAGTTTTTTGTTTGTTTGTTTTTTGTTTTTGTTTTTGGTGCTAAAGATTGAACCCAGGGCTTTGCACATGCTAGGCAAGCACACTATCAGTGAGCCACACCCCATCTCTGGTGCTTTTCAATTATTATTATCATTGTTTAAAAATACAGTGACCAGGTCTTCTAAATGCAGAACCAGAGGAAGGCCTGGAAGATGGAGATTGGACACATGTTCTGGAGTGTGGGGTCAATGTTCAGGGAGGGTTCAGAAAGCCCACTTGCTGATTCCAGCAACCAACCTTGGGTCCTTCATGGAATCCTGACCCAGATCCCAGGGTGACCTTTCACATGTGTCTGGTCCAATATGGATGTTTGTGGGGCCACACTCCTCTTGGCTGAGAGGCCAACTTTTTCCCTGTCCTTCCACCTTCTTTTCTTTTTTTTTGTGGTGTTGGGGATTGAACCAAAGGCCTTGCTCATGCTAGGCAAGCACCTTACCACTGAGCTACACCCTCAATCCTGCCCTCCCACTTCCACACATGTGGCTGTCATCTAGTCTCTGCCCACAAGGAGTCAGGGCAGCCAGACCGCCCAGTCCTGGCTCTGTGCTTTGTCCTACAGATCCACACCCTACTCCGCCTTTCTCCCAACACTAATTGCTGAGCTGGTTTGGTTTGAGAAACAAGAGCTTTGGGATTCCGCAGGAGCCTGATGCCTCGGCTGCTCTCTGAGCTGAACCCTGTCATCCCCTGGATGGTTGGCAATTATACCCCAGCTCAGGAAGGGGGGCAGGGGTGGTGCAACAAAGCTAAATATAGACACAGTTTCTAGAAAGCCAGGGGTGAGAGAGGACATTGACCGATTCTCATGCCAGAAACCAATTCATCAAAACATGAGGAAGACAGAAAGTTCATGAAAGCGTCAAGCATAGGGGGCTGGGGCCTCAAGCCTGGGGCAGAAGGCCCTGCTCATGTAGCTGTCTCTGCCAGCAGTGTGGAGTCAAATGCCCCCTGTGGGCTCTGCTGCCGCTGAGTGTCACAGAGATCCCATGCTTGGTAAGGACACAGGAGCTGGATGGAGCCCCTGATATGAAAGACTCGGGTGAGGTGATAGAAATGTCACCTAGCTTGGGGCTGGGATTGTGGCTCAGCAGTAGAGTGCTGGCCTCACATGGCGAGGTCCTAGGTTGGATCCTCAGTACCACATAAAAATAAATAAATAAAATAAAGGTATTGTTTCTATCTATAACTAAAAAATAAGTATTAAAAAAAAAAAGAAATGTCACCTAGCTTGACTATGGTGGTCAATACACAATGCATATGCACAACAAAACACTGAGTTGTATCCCCTAAATACAGACTATTTCTATTTGTCAAGCATAATCAAAGGGGAAAAAAGACCAATGTCATCTGATAGGGGTCTACATGGCAGGTTTATAAGTGGTGGCATTAAGGGGTTCTGAGCAGGTAGACTTTTACATTTTAAAGGAAGGTTAACACTGTGAGAAAGAGCTCAGACCTCTTTTCTAGAAGGCAATTTGGCAACATAAACCAAATATGTTAAATGCACAGATCTTTTTTTTAATATATATATATTTTTAGTTATAGATGGACAAAATACCTTTATTTTATTTGTTTGTTTTTATGTGGTGCTGGGGATCGAACCCAGCATCTCACGTATGCTAGGCAAGCGCTCTACCACTGAGCCACAATCCCAGCCCTGCACAGATCTTTTAACACATTAAATCCAATTCCAGGGGTCCATCCTGCAGGTAGATCAGGGCCTGGGCT